ATGTTGAACAACGTGTCGGTCTGTTTAATTGTTATTACCGACATTGACCTTTTGATTGTATGGACTGTTCTTTTTCTTATTTACTGAAATATTCCTTTGATGTTGTTCTTTTTTTTCTTTTCACTTGTTATATAAATACGATAAATGATTTTATATTGTCATTCCTGACGATGTGCACCGGATAGGGCACGAAAGCTTGAATGTAAATATTTTTCTGATGAAAAATTAATAAAAATAAAAATGATTTTCACAGCAGTTATCTCTTTCTTTTTCACTTATTTATTTCCTACTGCTCTTCCCTCTCAATTTATTTCAAATCTTCGCTTGAAATATGGCGAATCGATTCTGGTAAGTATACGACAATGTGAAAGATTAACAGAGAAATTACAAAAAGCAAAATGTGATGTCGAATTTCTGAGATGTTGTTTAATATGGCTCATTCTCAAAAGAGATACAATTTTTTTTTTATAATTAAATCGGCAAAAAATCATTAGGTACATGTAAATGGTAGTTTTTGTTTTCTTTTAATTTTGCAATTTAACCACAGCTACGTGATTCATTCATTAGCAATTTGAAGATGTTTAGCTATTTTAATTTGCTATAGCTATTTATTCTTTTTCATAGCTAGTTAATCTACTGTATAGCTATTTGATTCATTCATTAGCAATCTAAAGATCTTTTAGCTATTTCAACTTGCTATAGCTATTTATTCTTTTTCATAGCTACTTAATTTACTACACAGGTATTTGATTTATTGATCAGCAATCTAAAGATCTTTTAGCTATTTTAATTTGCTATAGCTATTTATTCTTTTTCATAGCTAGTTAGTCTACTGTATAGCTATTTGATTCATTCATCAGCAATCTAAAGATCTTTTAGCTATTTCAACTTGCTGTAGCTATTTATTCTTTTTCATAGCTACTTAATTTACTACACAGCTATTTGATTTATTCATCAGCAATCTAAAGATCTTTTAGCTATTTTAATTTGCTATAGCTATTTATTCTTTTTCATAACTAGTTAATCTACTGTATAGCTATTTGATTCATTCATCAGCAATCTAAAGATCTTTTAGCTATTTCAACTTGCTATAGCTATTTATTCTTTTTCATAGCTACTTAATTTACTACACAGCTATTTGATTTATTCATCAGCAATCTAAAGATCTTTTAGCTATTTCAACTTGCTGTAGCTATTTATTCTTTCTCATAGCTACTTAATTTACTGCACAGCTATTTGATTCATTCATTAGCAATCTAAAGATCTTTTAGCTATTTTAATTTGCTATAGCTATTTATCCTTTTTCATAGCTGCTTAATTTATTACACAGCTATTTGATTTATTCATCAGCAATCTAAAGATCTTTTAGCTATTTTAATTTGCTATAGCTATTTATCCTTTTTCATAGCTACTTAATTTATTACACAGCTATTTGATTTATTCATCAGCAAATGTAAAGATCTTTTAGCTATTTCAACTTGCTATAGCTATTTATTCTTTTTCATAGCTACTTAATTTAATACACAGCTATTTGATTCATTCATCAGCAATCTAAAGATCTTTTAGCAATTTTAATTTGCTATAGCTATTTATTCTTTTTCATAGCTACTTAATTTACTACACAGCTATTTGATTTATTCATCAGCAATCTAAAGATCTTTTAGCTATTTTAATTTGCTATAGCTATTTATTCTTTTTCATAGCTAGTTAATCTACTGTATAGCTATTTGATTCATTCATCAGCAATCTAAAGATCTTTTAGCTATTTCAACTTGCTATAGCTATTTATTCTTTTTCATAGCTACTTAATTTACTGCACAGCTATTTGATTCATTCATTAGCAATCTAAAGATGTTTAGCTATTTCAACTTGCTATAGCTATTTATTCTTTTTCATAGCTACTTAATTTACTACACAGCTATTTGATTCATTCATTAGCAATCTAAAGATGTTTAGCTATTTCAACTTGCTATAGCTATTTATTCTTTTTCATAGTTATCTAATCTACGACACAACTAAATAATGATTTATATAGAGAAATATTTGTGATGTGTACAGTAAGATGATTTTTAAGTGTTATCGATTTTTTTTTGTTTGACCAATAATTTTTTCGTGATTTAAATTAGTCTGAAAATGCTGGGAATTAGAAAAGATCATTATGTAACACCCGGATTAGAATCTTTGTATTTAGAAAAAAAATTAATGTCTGGTTTAACGATTTCTAAATTAATATTTTATTATCACATTCGACATGTTTACAACGAATAGTATATGTGTATTGGTTTGTATGAACCATTATTGCAACTTAATTATGTATATGATGAGCAGCTTTGTTCGTACAGAATCGAAAATTAACATCAATATTCAAAAATAATAAGTTGTTGTTATCGGCACGTCTAATACATGAATGAATATAATTTACATGATTATGATCAGTTGTTATTATTTTTTGAACGATTGTTCAGAATTTTTCACTTTCTGCGCTTATAGATGCAGAATAATTGTTTGAACTCTTGTGAGAATGAATTTCTTTATTTGATGATGAAGTTTTTTTTAAAATTTGTTTTGTCATTAAAATAAGTATTTATATGATGATTGATGTATGTTCATATATTGCCCGTATAATCAGATTTTGAATTTTCTGTACATGATTGGTTTAGTTTGAATTCGGATTGACTATAATTAAAAAAAAGTAATGAGAAATGAAGTAAATCTACGTTATATGTGGTAATTGATTTTTTTTCAGACATCATGATGTAAAACATTTGATTGACTAGAAAATGGAAAAAAATTCGGCTGATAAAAAGCATTGCTCTTGCCATTTGTAATAGAATCAAATAATCGATATTGTTGATTAATAGAATAGATACTTAAATCAATTGCTAAAGTGGACTTTTTACATTTGCTCAATACTAAAAGATATGCAATTTCTGAAACATTTACATGAACAAATTGAAGATAAGATTAAGTACATTCTGAACGTAATGTATTAACATATGCAGATAATATTTTGATTAAATCAGATATAAAACATTTATTTAAATTAAAATTCATATTATAAAATTTACACTTATGTTGAATAACTTCTGATAAAAGAAGATGGATGAAGTTTTTAATGAAAAAAACTAGAGTAACACTATTTTCGAATTAGAAACAGACAAGCATTTATTTTAAGAATTTTTTATACAAAATTCGTCAATTTAAATATTTGAACCTATCTCCACATAAATTATTTTTAGATTGCAATACATAAGGACACATACGTAGCGAGATTCAATTGAAACTTTATGTTTAATTCAGATCGGAATTCTCATCAATGTATTGTTCTTCGCTTTAAACTCGTATTCAAAATATTTTTATTTAAAAAGTGTATGGATAAAATGATATTAAATTAAATTCCTAAATCAAGATGATTCTACAAGATTTTTCAAGCTTACACTTTTAAAATTAGAAATTGATTTAAAACAGTGTGGATTAAGTGGCAATTTTCAGACGGTATATTATTGGAAAGATTTAAAATGTAATAGAATATTTTTAGACAACAAGTCATCCCGATATGATGATCTTGTATATCTAAATTCTGATCTATATAATATTCGAAGTCTATGTATGTCTTAAGTGTATTTGCTGGAAGGATTAATTCATAACTACTACGTTTATTTAACGGACATTGACGATAGATTGATATAAATTCATTCAATGTTAAATAGCAAAATTGCCGACTTCCATCAATTTTTTCAATAGCAATAGAAATTTAACTTTCATTGTTTCTTATTTCTGATATTTGCATAATTAAATCAGAGACACGACGAGTGAGAATTTTATTCGGATAGAACTGTTGGATTATTTGTGAAAATGAATTCATAATATAATGAATAATACAATTTTTTTATCGATAAACATAATGCCCGCTCAAATGTTGAATATTTATTGAAATTTATCTCATGAAATTTATTCAATCATAAACAGAAAAGATATTCTTTTGCATCTATCAAAGATATTCTATCAGTTTTCGTTTAATCTGTGTCAGTATTATCAGCGGTATTCTGTAATGCATCGATATATGTATAACCAACACATCTAACTTTTGACTGATAGTTTTTAATATCAATTGATTGTTGTTCATATAACATTTTTAAATTATTTAAACGAACATCGTATTTGATATTTTTTTTTTTTCGTGGTCTTGTAGATCTATTTTGTTTTTTTTCTTGCTCGATTCTAATGATTGTTTGCTCATCATCTTTTCGAATTTGCATGATCCATTTCCATATGTTCGGTTTCGCAATTAATCGACTAAAAATATTGAAAAGTTTTTATTCAATCTCTGATATTAAAGTAATAATGATAAAGATTTAATTTATATGAAGCAAAAGCAAATAAATAAAGATACCTATTAACATATCTGTGATATCCTTCAATGCTAACGAAAGACAACGAAATAAAATAAATCATATACAGAATTAGTCTTTATAATTTTACTGATTATTCGTTCTTGGTCGATCAGTCAATGTCGAATAATGATTCCAATTTGATAAATGAAATTTTGCATTGATGATATATGTTTTTTTAACATAATTAAGAAATGGAAGAAAATTTGAATTGATCGACACAAAAACATCATATGAGCATTTGAATGCAGAGAATATATGAATTGGTGGTAATAATGGCAATGATAAAATATTTGCCACCTCACGTTTGATAATTTCTTTTTTCAATTCTTCCGATAAACCTATCAACATTAGTTATATCAAAAACGAAATTAAGTATGCAACGAATGTATAGGAACTAATGTCGATTCCAGAAATAAATGGAGCCGGCATTAATTATTGAGAAATTTATAACTGGATTTAAAAAAAAAATAAACAAAAAATGCAAATCTAGCTTTTATCGGATCTATATCAATATAGCATACATGAAATCATCAGTTAACAAGAGAGAATATTGGTTTTTTTAGAAAATATTTTGCAAACACAATCCATATCAATATAATTTTTCAACTATTCATTTTTAAACTTACGCAATTTTTTTAAATGCTTCATGATATTTTTAGCGAAATGAAAATGGCAGAAAATTATTTTTGCTTTTGGAAAAATTATTCGGAATGCATTAAATGCTGCCATTTCGAAATCAATTAGTATAGATGATGGAGATAATGTAAAGCCATTACATTGTGCATATTGAATTAATGATTGAAGAAGTCTTAAATAAGTCACTTCGCTTTTATCTTCTAAAGCCGCAAACAATACTGGTTTCATAGAAAATTCATTATGAACATGTATTGTATATGCTTGTCCAAATAGTTTGGGTGCAGTTTTAAATGTACCATCTGAATTCCAAATATTGCATTGTGCTATAAATATTTGACAAACATCAATTAATGATTTTTTTTTATTCATTAAATCATATAAAAGTGAATGAATTATCTTTCTGAAACAAATATTAACGATTGATTATTTAGTTTCTTTCTCGTCTAATTTAAATCTAATCATTCTTAAAACAATTCGAATCAGAATATCGTATTAAAGGGAGACATGATATTATTGTTTATTTTCAATCACTGTAGATTGTTTTTTTCGTTTACAGAAATATTTATGTTATTAATCGTAATAAGAATAAAAAATTCTTTATTATAAAATAGAAACATACATACCAAGTTCTTTCATAGCACTTAATGAACAAAACCCTAATATTCGTGTTGGTTCTGTTTCATCACAAAACAACATCGGTTCATTATATAGATTGTTCATAAAATCAGCTGGTACAACTAAATCTCGTATACATGTTGGATACTTCGGTAAAACAATTGATCTATCACGATAAAGTGTTGATCGAAGCATATCAAAAATAGGCACTGATTCAGCAGTTCCATTCATATGTTTCTAAATATATGATGTAGAAAAAAAAATTCATACATGTTCTATATACATATTCAGATAGAAATTCGCTATAAATTTGAGTGACTGGTTTCGAAATGTTATTACGAACTTCTTGTCTCATAGCTTTCACAGCTTTGATAATAGAAACTGAACGTTTAACGTTAGTATGATTGTGTTTTCCTCTTTGACTCTGTATTATTTCATTTCTTATCGTAATAGATGATGAACAATATCGATTCGTGCAAACCCATCGAGTACTGCCATTTTTATTACATTTTTGTAATCGATATAAATTATCTTGAAAGTGGATTGAATTCGAACCTTTTTGACTATCAACCACAGAGTACATCTTTTGAAATTATAATATAATTTTCATTAATAAAGATAATTTATGAATAAATGACGTAAAGTCATCGATCAGTTAATTGATCTTCATGCTTAAAATCGATTTATAAATACGTTTCATATAAAAAAATGTATCGAATTGGTCAGATACAATAAATTTAATCAATATATACTGAATTGCTAACAATCAATTCATTAAAAATAATCATTAGCCATAAAGGTTTTTGTTACCAAGAAAACTCTATCAATAAATATCGAGATGTGCTTAATGAAAGATATCAATTGGTTTATAGATGATTCATTATTTTTTTTCTTCAATGAAAATAAATAGTTCCATGAGATAATTATAATTTTACAACGATTCAAAAAAAGAGAAGACAGATTTATTTATTCATTGATTTTATCGCTGAATGTATGTTAATATAGATTTTAAATAAAAAATAAAATATAATAAATAACAATGACAAAAAAAATATTTCAATTTGTTTCTTATTTATTAGTTGTAGAAATAGAATCAATTATTGATAAATTGATATTGATAATTGATGATGTTGATTCGGTAGTTCGTCAATGAATAGTGTCTGTTGTTATACTTGACGTTTCTGATTCACTTTCGAGACAATTATTGTATTCTTCAGGTGTAATATTAAATTCTTTAAGAAAATCTATCATCATTTGATATTTTTCTGATTCTTTGTCATCTGGTATTTGATCTTTTGTGAACAATATTCGAGGTTTTCCATGTTTTTTTTGTTTTTCTAATAAATGTGACCCAATTTGACAATTAGCCAAAAAGATAAAAATTTTTTTAACATTTTCAACATTAACACCAGGAATCTAAACAGAAAAAAAATCTAATCAATCATCAATATTTACAGAGAGACATATCTTACTCGTAATATTTGAGTAAGTCGACTACTTGTTATTGTTTGCTTTTTATACAATAATATTTTTTTGATGACTGTATCAGTAGTTCTACCATCAAATGGATCCATTGATGACGATGATGATGATGATAATGTAGAAAAACCATTATAATGACTAACAACACTTCGCCTTGAATTATCAACAGCGGATGAATTAAGATAAGAAACATTTCTTTGAGAATTCTGTTCAACTATATTTATTTGTTGTGATGCAGATGGACCAATATTTGTTATATCTTGTGATGGTGGAATAGTTATTAATGGAAATCCATATAGAAGTTTTTTCGTATCGACATAAAATTTCATCAGTTCAACAGCTGTTAATGCAACTTCAGCTGAAATCGTAAGATATTCATCCATATTTTCTTTTGCTAGATTAGCCATTTTTTGTATTGAATCAGCTGCTAAATCATCAAATAATAAATATTGTAATAGTGGTTCAATCTATTTAATCAAATAAGAATTTACACAACAATGAGATAAATAAACTCACCTTTAGAACATAACTACAAGCTTTGTGAAAAAGATGTAATAAACCACAGATTCGATATAAATGATCTCGTGATTTTGAAAATAATGTACATAAAATATCTTGATATCCTTGAAAACCTATCACCATATTATTATATTCATCATGAGTATATGTTAAGATTTCATTTGCTGCTGGCGACATTTTGAGCGTTAAAATTTGATCATGATGCATCAAATAAATAAAATACATAATGTGACTTAAACTTGGACATGGAGACGATTGTGTATTATATTCACTAGCTGTTGTATCAACATCACGTTTACTACGTTTATGAACGTCTTCTGGTGAAAATCGAGCCGAAAAAATAAATCTATTCGTAGAAAATTTTTTATCTTTTAATCATAAACCAAAACATTCGTTTAAATGATTTACCTTGCAAACAATCCATCGACTCCTGATTGATTATTTTCATCTTTTAATATATTAATAATTGCACTGGGATGCGCTGCTGCAACAATTGAAAGCCATGGATTTTCACATTTAATATCACCTTTTACTAATTGTCGAAAATATGATTTTGGTCCATTCCAAAGTGTATTTAATACAGATCGATGATATACAGCTTTATCTGCTCGATAAAGACCAAACGATGACGCAAATGTATTAAATTCATCAAATGCTCTAAAACGAAAATTTCTTTAAAAAAAAAAATATATATATATATATATTCATTTTTAATAAAAATCTTTTATTGGTACAACAAATCATAAGCATAAATAAATTATATTTTTATCAGATGTTAAATATTTCTATATATCATACTGAACAAGGGATCTTTTCCTCTCTAATTCGTGTAATAAACTTTCAATGGTTACTGATCCATTTATTCGACTATCTTCAATTTTTATTTGGAGATATTCTTCTATTTCTCGTGTTGCTCTTTCGATTAAACCAATAGCTGTTGATTTGTTTGATCCTGTTAGATGATGAAAGAAAAACAATTCAATCTGTTTTTTCCCTTTTAGTATCAATACCTGGATATCCTATAATCACACCATAAAATAGTAAAGGTATATCCCAATCGATATCTATGTTTAACACTGTTCGTGAACACCAATGAGCAATACCAGCAAAAATAACAACCAGTAAATGCATGATTGGAACTTTTTTTAGATTTACAATATTCTCCAATACCACTCTGATATCATAAGGAAAAATATCATTTGGTGGTGTAACTTTAGTGCATTCATACATAATGGAACGGCATTTATGATTTGACATTGTCGATCTAAAAAACAAATCTTTCTGTTAATTAAATAACATTGCATTAATTTGAATTATTTTCAATTATGGATTCTTATTTTAAGAATTTTATTGAATGGAAAATTCGTTTATTTTGCAAGATTAATCATCAAGGTTTTTCAACTCGTTATTTCAATTTTTTTCTTTGAAAAAAAATCTAAAATTTAAAATATTCTTTTTATTTTCCATCATACTCATGATTATTAACGATATTAAAATAATAAATACACGAAAATTTTCATTTAATCAACAGAACAAAAAAAATCAAATACATTAAAACGGAAAAATTTGTCATCAGCACGTTCATTTTTCTTACACAATTTCAATCATAGCTTGTTCAGATACATTGATTGAAATAAAATCTAAATAGGAAAAAAAAAAGAACTTCACCTTTTTATTAATTCACAATAAAAATTCTCACCATTATAATGATTAACCTTGCCTTTTCGTATACGAATTGTTTTATTCATTACCATATCAGGAATTTCATCAATCTATATATAAAAATAATCTTTATAAATCGTTCTTTAATAATGCAATCACGATCTACTTTTTGATTCCATATTGTAATATTAATTCCACCTGTTTCATCTTCAATTTTCATTGATTGTCGTCGAATTTCTGCACCAGTAGTTTGAGATCTTGTTGTTGATATACCTCGATCCAATATAATTTTTCCTTCAACATCTAAAATATTTCAACAAATATGTTTAAATTAAAAATTTATTCATCTAACGACTTACCGACACCAACATTATGAGCCAATTGATTAACATCATTGATTGGCTTCTTGATGATCTTGAATGATGGATTAAAGCCATTAGATTCATATCGTTCAACATGACTATTTTCACCCAATCGAATTTCATAAATTGAATATTGTGTTCGGTATCTTTCATCCGTCTTTCTTATTTGCCCATTTTCAACCACAACTTTCTAGCAAGATAAACAAATTTCGAAAAAAAACAAGATTTTTTAATATTCTTACTTGATTTAAATCCATCAAATGGTATATTCGATCACCTTCATCATTAAAGACCACCACTTTCACTTCACCATTACGATCACAAAGAATACAATCAAATACTCGACCATTTGCAGAAAAATGATGAATCGGACTTCGATAGATGACTTTACCACGTATACGAAATCTACAACAGAAATTCATTAATAAATTACTTCATGAATTTATTACTGTAAAGTATTTTCATTTAAATTGTTGATTTCATCGAATTCATTCTTTGTAACAGGACAATATTGTTCTATTGTTCCTTTGAAAAAAAATATAAGCTACTAAAACATCATCTCTAATCTATTTACTTTGTGTTGTAGCTGTAGGTGTGACATTTGATGTAGTTGTTGCAGAATTGGATGCTGATGATTCAGCTTCTTAATCAAACAAACAAAATCCTTAACACCATTCATTATCATTACTTTTCATTTTGTTCAATCAAATATCATGAGTCATACTATTATGACAAAATTCTTTTTCGTTATCAATCGAAAAAAAATAATATAAAACCAACACGTCGATAAAATTTTTTATTAGTGCCTTTTAAAGTTTCATAATATTTATTTTCCTTGTTAATCTATCTATTATCAAATAACAGCTCAACATATAGACATTAACAATAATTCTTTTCAGTTTTATCCATTCAGTTTCTTACACAATTGAATGATTGAATTTTTCAATTGTTAAATATTTAAATCTCTCAAAATCAATTGACTATTTATCTCGATGAAAGTATAATGAGAAATTTTATCTTTTCAATATAAATAACAAAAAAAAAAAGGAAAAAAAAAATAATGAACAGAACAATATCTATCACATACCAGGTTGATTGACTTCTTGAATTAAACCATTAATTTCATCAAGTATGTTGGAGGCGCATGTATCATTTAAATTTGATTCTTCATGACCACTATATTCAACATTAACATTTTCTCGATTTCTTCGTTGATTCTCATTTTCAGAATCTTCTGAATTAGATGATACCACTAATGAAAAAATTCGAACTGAATTCTAACTACAAATTATTGAATGATACTTACTCACAAAATGACTTCTCTTTTCACCTTGAGACATTTCTTTAGCAACTATGCAGATACTTTTGATGTTGTAAATCGACTCATACAATGATCATTTACTTTGGCATTCTAAACAGAGCGCCAAGCATCCTAATCAAATATCAATCATTAAATTAAAATCCTAATCATCTCCTTTTTCATTTAATTATCTATAAAACAAAAAGAACAAATACAGAAAATCCATTAACACTACATATGTCTCTGATAGCTATAACTAAATCTTATGAAAACGAAAAAAAAAACGATACTAACATACAACACCATTTGTACATACGCTTATTAGTCTTATTCATACGTTTACACACCTAAATAATTAATCTAAAATTATTCTCAATCATCAATGAATTCCAATATCCATAAGCTCACATAAATCTCACTGAGAAAAATTTGTCCATATTACTTTTTTTTTCGAGCAGGGGGTGGTAAAAAAAAGCATGACATTTAATTACAGAACTGCATAAAAAAAAATAAATATACAATTCAATATCGCATTTTTCCCATTTCTTTGAAATATCGACATAGATGTAGAGGTATGAACAAAATCTTTGTGTGACAAATACGAACCATAGTTGTGGTGAAAAACGAAAACACAATATATATGATTACAAACGATTTTTCGTGCATGTCATACAAAAATAAATATATAATCTAACATTATTCTCAACCATGAATGAATTTTTTAGTATTGATAGTTTCACATAAATCTGACTGAAAAAGTACTCTATATTGCATATTTTTTTCGAGCAGGGGGGGGAGGAATTTTGAAAAAAAAAAAAAAACGGTAACATTTATTTACACAATTCAATAAAAAAAATACATATATATAGATGTATAGGATTGACTGTTGCATTTTTCATATTTCTTTTACATATCTACTTAGATGTAGAGGTATGAATAAAATCTCTGTCTAAGAAAAAAAACACACCATAGTTGTGGTGAAAAACGAAGACACAATTTTTATGATAACGAACGATTATTCATGGATGTCATTAAAAAAAAAAAAAAAACTATTTAATCTAAGATTCTTCTTAATCACGAATGAAGTTTTTAGTATCAATAACCTCACATAAATCTCCCTCAAAAAAATTTGTACATATTACTTATTTTTTTCGAGCAGGGGGGGGGGGGGTTGAATAAAAAAAGGGTGACATTTATTTCCACAGTTCAATAAAAAAAAAAAAATACATATATATATATCTGTGATTGACTATTGCATTTTTCTATTTTTTTTTTACATATCTACATAGACGTAGAGGTATGAACAAAATCTCTGTGTAAGAAGATACAAACCATAGTTATGGGGAAAAACGAAAACACAATATATATGATTACAAACGATTTTTCGTGGATGTCATTGAAAAATAAATATACAATCTAAGATTATTCTCAATCATGAATGAATTTTTTAGCATTGATAAGCTCACATAAATCTCACTCGAAAAATTTGTCCATTTTACTTATTTTTTTCGAGCAGGGGGCGAAAAAAAAAAAAAAAAAAAAAAAAAAAAAAAAAAAAACCCGAACCTCTTACCCCCAAATTTAAAAAAAAAAAAAAAAAAAAAATTCTCCACCCTTGTCTAACAATCACTTTTTTTTTTTTTTTTTTC